TGTATCTATGAAGCGCCTTGAGGCAACTTTTGTTGTGATTTGGCGCTATATAAATAAAATTGAATTGAATTGAATTGAATCTCATGTAGAGATCCTCCAACTTCAAACCGTGTTACCCTACCAGCACCTGAAGCTCAGTAAAGAACCCCACCGACAGCCAAACCCACCTGTTGTCTGATTGGGTTGTTAAATTTGTGATTGACATGACATTGACCAATCAGCTGAAAGGAAGAAAAATCGGGTCAAAATTCATACTAAGTTGAAACTCACACATAAGCAGGAAACTTGAGTCCAGAGTTTTATAGGTAGTTTATCTGTAAGCAGATCTTAACAAAAATAATTTGTAACTCATGTACATATGTTTTACAAACACACACACACACACACACACACACACACACACACACACTATTTTTCATCTACAAATACACAAACAGATGATTTTCAGATATTTTGGTGTGCAAGGTTACAAAACTCTCAACTCACAACTACGCAGTTGATTTACAAGTACAAAATATTTATGACCACAATTTGAGCCCATAGACTCCCACATATAAACCTGACACAGAGACAGGACTGAACTCAGACTTACAAACTTACATATGTGGCCTATACACCCTTTGAAAGTGTGAGATGAGAATGTGTGGTTTTGGATACATTTCCTCTTATTGTGCCCTGAAGCTTCGACACTTTTCTGCAACCTCACAAGTGAACAAATGCAAAGTAGCTCACAGTGCTCGAGAAATCCTCTTTTTTTCTGTAAGTATTAAATGAGATATCTAATTTGAAATCATTTTTAATCTTTGAAATAAAGGGGAAAAGTTCTCACAAAGTAATTCTTTCTAGACTAATGTATTAGGTTTTGGCACATGGACTGTATAATGTCTGTGTGTGAAAAGTAAATGCAGAAGCACCAAAAATCTGCATTCTTCTAGATGACGAGGAGGGTTGAAACGCTTAGTGGGGCAAACTGTTAGAAAAACAATAACTCTGCCATTCTTTAAGTCGTCAGAATAAAGGAAGTGATAACTTCTAACACACACCTATGTGTATTTTTACCAAATAGGCAGAAGGCAATTTCTGACATTTCCGCCAATGACCTGTTTCTGCTTTAGAAACACTCCTCACTGTGTGACTATTTGGGCAAGAAGAGAGCATTAGCGCTGCAGTACAATGACCTTAAAACTGACTGTTTTCATTCTGCTTTTTACACCAGGTAAGTGCAGTTCTTTTTCAGTGTGAAAGACATGATGCAAATCTTCTGTTTGTAATGTGCGGTGTCTGAAAACTCAAATATATCTTAGCCATACTTGTGTACTAAAGTTTCTACAGGTAATGACTAGGGCTGGGAGAAAAAATGGATACTGTGTAGCATGGTGATATTTTGTTAGCTAATAATGTATGGATACAGGGACAGCAGAAATCGATATTTTGTTACAAAAAAGGTTTTTGTGCTCTGACTTCAGAGCATGTTGATCCTTTTTCTGAGCAAGAATCCTGACATTCCTTCACTGTCCAAATGTGTTTAATAAACATGACAGTTTACTTATTTTAATTTAAGACATGTTTTATTTTAATTAAGTTTAAAACTTTTATTTAATGTAAAATTATATTTAGTTTTAATTTACTTTCAAATTCTTCAGTTGCTGAAGGGGCTGCATAGTTTTCATAAACTGCATAGTTCAGAATAGCTATAATTGTACCAGATGGTTGATTCAGTTAAGTTGGACTAGACTGTAATACAAACCGTTCAGTTTGTCAACAATAAAACTGAAATGAGAGAAAGACTGAGTGTGAGACTTTGATATTAGATCAAATGAATATTGATAAAGTTTACCTTTATGTACAGAATCTGAATATCGCAAAATATTTTTAAAAAATTGCAATAATATCGTATCGTGCGTTAAGTATTGTGATATCGTGTGATATCATATCGTGGGATGTATGGTGATTCCCACCTCTAGTAATTACATTGATATTGTCTGTAGTGTTGAAACTGTTCTCATTTTCCTTTGTTTCACAGCCCTGATTCTGACTGCTGACCTTCTTCCACCGATTTCTTTGACTGCTGTTGAACCTGGTGACAATGTTACTTTAGTGTGTAATGTCTCTGGGATGGAAATGAAATATTTCTACTGGCATAAACAGCCTCTTGGACATATGGTCCAAAATGTTGCCAAAGTCATCCATGGCCAAAGCACTATTTCTGAGGAATTCAAAGATTCACGTTTCACAGTTATAAAAAATGCATCTCAGTATTTTCTAACTATCAGAAATGTCAGTAAAGAGGATGAAGCAACATATTTCTGTCACACTGGAACAGATTACTCTCCTAAATTCAGTGGAGGAACATTCTTGTTTGTGAATGGTAAAATATTTTTCTGTAATCTGTCAGCCTCACTGATCACTTTCAATTTTTAATGAACTAAAAATAGTTTATGTTATGAATTTGTCTGATTCACAGATCACAGTAACCAGAAATGTGTCTACGTGAAACAAAGTCCACAGAGGGCATCGGTTCTTCTGGGACACTCAGTGACACTAAATTGTTCGCTTCTCTCGAAGAACAAAGAAACTGCTGTGCAGTGTTCAGATGAACACACAGTGTTTTGGTTCAGAGCTGGACCAGAAGGATTTGATTTAAACATCATTAACACTCACAGGAACAGCAGAGATGAAGATGTGAAGAGAAGTTGTGTCTTCAGCCTGTCCAAAACGATACAGGACTCGTCTGATGCTGGGACTTACTATTGTGCTGTGGTCACATGTGGAAAGATCCTGTTGGGTAAAGGGACTCAAGTAGAGACACGTATGTAGTGAACATTTGTATTTAAATCAGAAACTAGCTCATTTCATCAGTAAATCAATATTTGTATCAATATCTTATAGACTGATTTCGAATACACGAGCATAACTCCCAATAGTCTGTATGAAATAAATATGATAAATTTCCATAAAAATCAGGACCTGAATTAGAACCTGTTGTCCTTGCTCTTGGAGTGCTGCTGGCCTGCTGTGTTTCTGTGATTGCCTTTCTTATTTTCTACATAAAACAAAGGAGCACAACAAAGGAGCACTGCAGAGGTAGGTTAATACACACACACACACACATATATACATATATATATATATGGACTGCTCCACCCTCCCAACAGTCATAGAAAAGATCCTTAGCAAGTTACCTTGCCAACTTGGGTCAGCAGATTTCTCCTAACCCTAAGTAAGGAATCCACAAAGGATTTAGAAACAGTACATTTCACGTGTGTTTCATTACACGCTGAATACGTCAATCCAGTTAAGCCAAAAGAACTTTATTGGCTTCTAAAAGCCTGTCAGTAAAATGTCACAAACAGGACAGGAGACAGGGTGCAACCCTAATCACCTGATCCTCCGTCTTCCTGTGGTCAGGGTTGCGTCGTCTGTGTTACCTGCCACCATGTTGTCACAGTCGTAATAATAATAATAATAATGAATTGGATTTATATAGCGCTTTTCAAGGCACCCAAAGAGCTTTACAATGCCACTATTCATTCACTCTCACATTCACACACGGGTGGAGCCTGCAGTTGTAGCCACAGCTGCCCTGGGGCAGACTGACAGAGGCGAGGCTGCCATATCGCGCCATCGGCCCCTCTGGCCAACACCAGTAGGCGGTAGTCTACTGGTGTAGTCCTTGTCTTGCCCAAGGACACAACGACCAGGACAGAGAGCCCGGGGTTCGGTTACAGATACGCTTCCCAACCCCCTGAGCCACAGTCATTGTTGTTTATAGTTGAGTTTAGCCACTGTCCTTGCTGTTTTGTCACGCCACCTCGTATCAACCATAATAAAGGCTCGCCATTTGTATATAGTTCACTTCCATCTCCTTGCCTGTGTCTGCTCCTGGATTCACCTCACTCACTCCACTCGGTCTGCCCGTGACATCCAGGTCCCAACCACTCCCAGACTCTGGAACTCGCTCCCGTTGAGTTTGAGATCTGTGGACTCAGTCATGTCTTTTAAAAAGCAGTTAAAAACCTGTTTAAACTCGCTTTTGGTTGATTTTGTTTTGTTTTCGATTTTAATGTCTGTTTTCTGCCTCTGTAAAGCACTTTGTGATTTTAACTTGAAAGGTGCTATATAAATAAAATTTTACTTTACTTTACTTTACTAGATGCATTCTGTCTGTTTATAAGTGGCCCTTAATAAAACAGTGTGATGATAGCTGTAACCATATTCCTCATATGTAAACTCAAAAATTCAAAACTCCTTTACCTCTTCTCTTTAAAGGGGAAATGCACGCCTGCAGTCATTTTGGACAGGACGTGTCAAATGTGGATCAAGCAATTTTGGTAAATATACCTTTGGACATGCTGCAGTATGTCCTGTGGCGAGGGCATGCATAATATCATACTCACAGCATATAAGTTATATATTATAATCTTGTTTTGCCATTTTGTTAAATGTGTTCCAATATCACTATATAATAAACTGGAATAAAGTTACAAGGTAAACAGCACCACTGACTATGAAATATTGCAAAGTCTTAAATTAAATATGTAACTTCTTAATAATTATAATCTCAGTAATCTCGTTTAAATTCATCCTGATTCCCCATGAAATCTGAAATATGTGTCATTTCAGCCTGTGAACTATTCATCGGTGGATTTCTCTGCAACAAGTGTAAAAAGAGGGAAGAAGAGGAGAGAGTCACTGCAAGACTATGTGTACTCTGCTGTTAAAGACCACCAGCAACGCTCTGTGTAAGCCAAGGGCAGAAGCCAGATGCTCCGACCTTTTTAACTTTTGCTAACAAAAAGACGGTTTAATATTTGGAGACCATTCCCCAATGCAAATACTGTTTATTATCTAAAGACTCAGATCAGCTCATGTGGGAGAGAACGTCTTCTTAAGTTCCATGTATATATCCATATGCTTATGCTTAGGGTCACATGGGGGGTGGAGCTTATTTCAGCTGTCATAGGGTGAGAGGAAGAGCACATCTTGGACAGGTCACCAATCAGTCGTAGCGCTACACGTCCACATTCACACCAACCAACTGAATTACAGGATGTCTTTTGCCTTTGACTTTAAAAAGGTGCAAAACAACCAACATCTGTTTTGGACAAGAGTTTGGCAAACTTTTTTTTATTTACATAAGTGGAGACATTTTTACAATATGAATGAATTCTGTATGATAAAGACTGGTCCAGATTTGTACAATAAATCATACAATAAGCTCACTGCTGCAGTTTTTTGTCTTGATACAGATTAATGTAAGGTTCTTAAAACCACTGATTGTTTTTAATGTTGAAATCTGTAAACGTCTCTGATATACGGTTCCTCTGGATAAAGTGCCTTTACGTGTAGAAAAACTGCAGGTGGGATATAAAGTTGCATTTCCTCAGTATAATAACCATGACCACAAAAATAGAATAGAAATATTCATTTATTTTATTTAAATTAAATAAAATTTGTAACTTTGTTGTAAAAAAAATTAAGAAATGTGGGAAAGGGGAGCACGGGAAAGTATATATTATGTAGCTCATCACATGTATTGTTTTAATTAGTTTTTTGAAGTATTTGGAGAACAACAACTACCACTCACGGCCAGATTAGACAAGAATGTTGTAATTTCTGATCCTGTGTGAACATTGGAAGAATGAGATTCATTCAGTATAGATACAATACTGAGTACTACAGCTTATAGGGATTAAAGATAAGCCAACATCAGCTAGGTGATCACATACCAATGCTAAACAGGTTTGCTAATTCAGTGATCCAGCCCTAAAGTCTTGCAAGTCGTGTTGATCTTCTGCATCTTCACTGCTTTTGCACATTTTAATGCACCTCTGTTAGCTTTCATCATGGTAACGACAGCAGCAGAAAACAACCACGTGTCCTTATTCTGGGAAAAAGATAAATAAAAATATTAGCAATACTGAATGCTAAACACCGATACATTTTGATTATTTTATAGAGATAATCCTGTTGCTTTACCTGTTGATTTTTCTGAGCGCTGAATCTTTTCTGTGGACCAGCACCTTGTTTATGGAATATATCGATAAATATTAATAGAAATGCAAAACTTTGTACTTTAATTATTTTTAGCTAAAACACTGTGGTAAACTTTAATTGGCTGAGAAATGATCACTAAGGTTTTTCTTGATGAGGACAGCGATAACCTTTTATTTAAATTTAATGGGATAGCTATGATTAACTTATATTACCTTCACAATTATCCCTGCTGTTTTTCTTTGACATGCAAATCAGGACAGCTATAACAATCAGACATATAGTCAAGACAGCACACAGCAGAAGAATAACTGTACTGGCACCCTGTGACCACGTACAGTCTCCTGGAACAATAACAAAAGAAAAGAAATACAGTAACAGACGAGTAAAAGTCAACCTACTGATTAGATTCCTATAAATGTGAAATCTTACACCCAAATCAAAAAAGAAAAAAGCTGGGAAGATCCGGAGAACAAGGTGGCAGAGATGAGAGAAGCACCAAAGCAAATGCAGCACTACGTTATGAGGATCACTGGGACAGTGTGACCAATGGCAGGACCTGAAGTCATTGACTGGTGGATTGGTTTTGATTAAGTAGTGAGGAGATGGAAGAAAGCCTGGACAGGTGGAGGTGTATTCTGGAGAAAGACTAATTAAGGTTAGTAGAAGGAAGACAGGATATGTGTGTAAACGAGAGGGAGACAGATGTAACAGTGAGGAGCAGAGGGACTGAGGCTGGGTGAGCTTAAATATCTGGGATCCAAAAACAACAGACTGCACTACAAAAGTGAAAAAGAGTGATTGTGTTCACGTCCTCTAAATGAGCCTTATTTTAGAGTGTTTTTGTGACACTATCACGATGTCATACACAGTCAACACAGTCAACTTAAAATCATGAGAAGTGCGTAAAAGACTTTACAGATGAATTTGAAAACTACAACAAAACAACTAAATAAAACAGCTGAGTCTGCTTGTTTCTTGAGAATGTGGAATATCATTTTCAGTCATACTGGTTATGTGAAATAGGCATTAACTCTATGCATTATACTGGGGTTTTCTTGGTTG